ACCACAAATGCAACAAAGACAAAAATAAATAAATGAAACTAAGCAAACTAAAAAGCTTCTGCACAGCAGAAGAAATAATCACAAGAGTAAACAGAAACCTACAGAATGGCAGAAAATATTTGCAAACTATGCATTTGACAAAGGACTAATATCCAGAATCTACAAGAAACTCAAATCAGTAAGAAAAAAGCAAACAATCCCATTAAAAAGTGGGCTAAAGAAGATATACAAGATATATAAGCAGCCAACAAACATATAAAAAATGCTCAATATCACACTAATTATCAAGGAAATGCAAATTAAAACCACAGTAAGATACCACCTTATCCAAGTCAGAATGACCATTATTAAAAAGTGAAAAAACAGTAGATGTTGGCATGGATGTGGTGAAAAGGGAGCGCTTATACACTGCTGGCGGAAATTTAAATTAGTATAACCTCTATGGAAAACAGTTTGGAGATTTCTCAAATAACAAAAAGTAGATCTACCATTTGATCCCACAAGTAGATCTGGGCATCTACCCAAAGGACAAGAAGTCATTATAACAAAAAGACACGCACATGCATATGTTTATCACAACACAATTCACAATTGCAAAGATAAGGAATCAACTGATAAGTGGATAAAGAAATGTGGTGTGTGTGTGTGTGTGTTTGTGTGTGTGTGTGTGTGTGTGTGTGATCTGGAGGCTATAATCCTAAGTGAAATAACTCAGGAATGGAAAACCAACATTGTATGTTCTCACTAAGTGGGAGCTAAACTATGGGTATGCAAAGGCATACAGAGTGGTATAATGGAAATAGGAGACTCGAAGAAGAGAGGGAGGTTGAGGGTGGTTAAGGGAAGAAAAATTATCTATTGGGTACAATGTAGGCTACTCTGGTGATGGGTACATTAAAATCTCAGACTTCACCACTATACAATTCATCCATGTAACCAAAAACCACTTGTACCCCTAAAGCTACTGAAATAAAAAAATTAAAATTAAAAAAAGACTAAGAAAAAACCTAATCTTTCACTCCCAGAGTTTCCCCGTTTGGTAAAATGAGCATACCAATACCTACTCTGAACAGTTTTGAGGAGAGTCAAATGTTTGTAAATCACTTATTGTAGTTTCTGGCTGGTCGTGATCACTCAATAATGGGATCCATTAATAGTTTGGGGAAGAGAAGTGGCTGAAGGGATTTGGGTTTTGCAAGAGGTCATTATGGAGGCCATTACGGGAAGTATGGATGGGGGTGGGAGGGGTTGGGCAGGGTGAGGCGAAGTGATTGAGTGTGGGCTCTGGGAGGTCAGTGAGGAGGCTGGAGCAATAGTCTAGGCAAGGGATGCAGACCCAAACTAAGGCAGTGAAATGGGATGGGCAAAAGCAATAACTATTTAGGTGGCACACTGAGCTTACTGACTAGCTGAATGTAGGAGGTGAGGGAAAGAGAGCTTTCCAGTTGCAGAGCAGTTCTGCTACCCTGCATCTGTGATACAGAAGGAGGGAGGCTGAAGGATAGGGATGGGGAGGGGGAGGGGAAGGGGAGAAAGAGGGCGTATTGAGGAGCAGAACTTCTTAGGAAAACAAGAATGCTTCATTGCTCTGTGAGTGTGGGAGGCAGTGGGGCAAGCAGGCTCCACATCCTGAACCAAGTCAACTTTAGAATCTCCAGGGAGGGCCCTGCACATGTGACTTTCCCCAAACAGGCATTTCTGAAGGACTTCTTTCTAACTTGTGTCACGTGCAGTTGACTTTCTTTGTCTCCAGGACTCTCCTAGAGGCCAACTGCATTGGTTTCAATCCACCCACTTAACTTCCTGCACTGCAGTTTTCCACAGAACTTACTCAGCATCTTCAGGTCTAATCCTGAATTGTTTTCAAGTGCCACTGTTTTTTGTCTGTAGTTGCAGTTCATCTGTGAGGTCATTTCCTGATGTTCTATCCAGAAGTTTCAAGTGGTTTCCCACAGGTGGAAAGACACAACGACAAAGGGGAAAAAAAATTCCTGGCTCTGGCTCCTCATTATGAAAGGGTAGCAATTGCTACCCTTTTGGGTTTGAGACTTGAGGGACAATCCAAGACTTGTCTCTACCACAGGAGGAGAATGAGGCAGCAGCTTATTCTTGGTGCCATCAGCACCATACACAATGTTCGGACACAACTGGTAGTTCACAAAGAAACAAAGTGATAGTAAATGGAAACCTTTTTCAGGTGCAAAAGACTTAGGACAAATTCTTGACTGAGGGGGTGGGTGGAGAAGAGAATGCTGGAAGGCCTTACCATTCAAAAGGAGTCAAGTAAAGACAACCAAGAAAAGGGAGGCTGCAGACATCCAGGATAAACTACACTGGCAGAATGTTGCCTAACGTGGCCTTAGTTGATAGCACAGTATAGTGATAGGAGGTTACGTTCTACAATTAGACAATTCTAAATTCAATCCAGACTCTTTACTAAATTACACGAACTTGGCTTAATCATTTTTCTTTTGGGGCCTTATTACCTTGCTATAAAGTGTTGATAATACCTCCCCTACCAAGGCTTTTATTACAGTTTTGGAATGGAGGGGAGGCTTAGGAGACTGGGAGTAAAAGGAGACTTTTCTATTAGAGGATATCACTCACTCACTCACTCAATCAATCGTCTATCCATCCATTCATCCATCCATCCATCCATCCATCCATCCATCCATCCATCCATCCATCCATCCATCCATGCATCCATCTACCTACCTACCTACCTACTTACCTATAGATCCATCCATCTCATATTAGTTTGAGGTTATATTACTCTTCTTGCTTTGGTAGTGGAATCTCCAATACTCACTATGGTTACTAGCACATCGTAAGCATTCAACAGATGTTTATTGGCTGGAAGAGTTACACTAATCTGTAATCTTTCTTTAAGAAATTAATTTTTTCTCCAGTCTTCCCTACGTATATGTCACCACCACCTGCCCAGATATCTACGTTAAAAGTCTTGATTCCTTGATTTATTGAGTACCTGCTAGGGTCTAGGCACCATGTGGGTTGCTGGAGTGGGGAAGGGAGGGGGAGTGTGATGAACTAGACCCAACCACAGTTCTCAAGAATGTTAGCGAAAAGGGAAGAACTTGTCATTTGCTCAGCTTCCTGCTTGTCTTTAGATAGAAGTCATAAGTGGGCCATTTCGAGTGTGCTTTTACAACCTTTGGTCAAATACGTAGAAATCCTTCCAATCCACAGCCATCTGAGTGGAGAAAAGGCTGTTGTGAAGTGGTTCCCTGGTCATCGGATGTGTGAATGCCATACTGTGGAATTCTCACTATTTGTGAAAACTACTAAGGAATAATACGTGTTTTGAATCCTACTAAGCTTCTCCCACTCTAGTCCAGCCTCCGTAGATGACATAAATGCCCAGAATAAGAATTTTAAAAGCACACGGAAAATGACTCTGGTGAAATCTTTTGCGAAGTCAACTTAGAGCTAAGTGAGCTAGCTTATTTCTACTGAGTGTGGGCTGCACTTTATATATCTATGACTATATATAAAGAATCCTTTCAAAAAACTCTGTGACTCTTTGGCTTAATTGTGAGTCACAAGGCTCCCATTTTAGAGAGAGTGTGTGTGTGTGTGTGTGTGAAGGAGAACTTTGGGCATAAAGCATATATTAATATGTACTTGTAAAGAAGTGCAGTGTGTATGTAGAAAGTTTTATAGCTTTTGTTAAAGCAAGGGAAGTGTAATGGAGGAGAAAGAGAGAGAAAGTGTGTATGTGTATGTGTGTGCATGTGGTGCAGGTGGTGGGCAGAATTACATGAGCAGCCAACTTCTTAGTGACCCAGACAGTGGTATAAGATATGAAGCGTTGTAGGAGGTGATTGTTTTCCTTTCAGAATAGCACACAGGTCTTTGAGGAGCCCTTGACTTTCTCTTTCCTCCTTGTCTTGTTAAAAAGGGATTAGAGTCCAATTAAGCCTTTTAATCCCAAGGTAGAAATTCATGTTTAAAAACAAAATTTACGGCCCCTTAAAAAAAAAAAATATCAGTACAAGTTGAGTTTTGCCCTTTCAAGTTGCCACCTGCGTGGTCCCAAAGAGTGTTTTCAGCTGAATACCCAACATTCAGCTCTTCTTAATTACTTTGCCTCATTCCTCCAACTCCTTCATCTTTTAAAGTACCCTTCAACATAAATAGCCATATGCTACTAGAAATACTTCAGCCTCTGGATTGCCACGACCACCCCAGGTTTATTTCTCTTCAGTTGGCAACACAGTGACCAGGGTTAACAACAATAGCATTAAGAGCTAACACTTATTGGATGCTTAGTATATGGCAGGCATCATGGTGCTAGGCACTTTACATGCATTATCTTATTAGGTACTCCATCTGGAAACACCCAGGGCTGGCTTCACCAGTGTGTGACTTGCATAGCCACACAAGGCTCCTTGCTTGGTTTAATGCTCTGCTGTTCCCATCTTGAAATTCTTGATTATTTTTGAGCAAAGGACTTGTATTTTCATTTTGGACTGGGTCCTACAAATGTAGGTAACCAGTCCTAAGAACATTCAATAACCCATAGTTTCTTTTTGTTTCTTTTGCTTTCTTTCCATCTGATGCCTAATACATTGCCAGAGGATGGGACAGTGAATCTCAAATTATGATGCCAAAACACTCTTGAGAAAATAGGTGCCATCATCTCTTTGGAGGGAAGTTCTCTAAGGGACAGGAATGATATCATGGCTCTCAGCAAGGGAAAGAAAAGTATCTGTGAGAATTTGGATAAGTTGTTTAACCCCTCTAAACCTAAGATCCCTCATCTGTAAAATGAGGATAATAGTAATAACACCTAACTCACAGGCTGTTCAAGGATGAAATAAAATGTTTATACAATTCTGACATGGAATACATACGGCATTAGTTACTAGTAGGGCATTCTGGGTGCTTAGCTAGTAGTAAACATCAAATATTGCTTGTGACATGGTATGAATCACTTGCCCAATTCAAAAGTGCCCTAATCTCAGGAGATTCTTCCCTACCTGTCCCGCTGAGCTGGAAGGAATGTCTGCTTTCTCCACGGGCTGGGTGATCACAGAGGGGTTGCTGGAGCTGATAAGCACTGGGGTGCTGATCTCTACCATATGGCGTCCTGAAGGAGAATGGACCATCCGGTTGAGAGTGTTCAAGGCTGTTGTGATGGAAAATTGCCCGGGCCCCTTCCTCCTGGACCCTGGGCCCCTACGGAGGGTAGATGTGTTGCCTCTGGAGGATGAGGACACCAGGGACAGGTTTTTTGTGCGGGATGACTGGCGACCTTTGTTCTTCTCTAGAAGGTGTCTTGCGGTGAGGTTTGGCTGAAAAGACAAAAGGTCCAATGAGAGGTTTGTCTTCCTGATCTAATGTAGGTAGCCAGTTCCTACCAACACCCATCTGAAACCAGGTCAGATGCCACCTCCTCGGTCACTGGCTCAGATGCTCATTCCTTGGTGAGCACAGTAACAGCTTCCATCTTCTATCAATGCATCCTCATGACTTTGCTCTATTAATGCATTCTCCCAACTTTCCTGCAAAGTAAGTATTACTCTTTTACTTAATAAGCCATGATGCTCTTCCCTGGCTGAGTATATTTATTCTTCCTTTACCCATTTTCCCCAGTCATTTCTGGCTGTTTTCACCTAGTGGACTTCTCCCCTCTTCCTTTAGCCATCCTGGAATCCCCCGCTAGGTTGGCCACTTCCCCTTCCTGGTGCTCCCAGCAGCCCCTGTGTTTCCCGATCATTGTATTTTTCACTCCAAACCACAATCCTTTACTTGCCTTTCCCCCACTAGTCTGTTAGCTATCTGGGTTGCAGGGACCTTCTACACATGATTCTCTCCTGTACCCCAGAGTAGATGCTTAGTGCTTGTGGAATAATGAGTGAATGAAGTTGCTCAAGTTCATACATTTCATAAGTGTTTGGGCCAGAATGTAAGTGCATTCAGGACCCTGAATTCTTATGCTAAGACTGTCTTTTACTACTTCTTTTAAATATGTTCATGTAATCACCCTTCTTCCTTGTTCTATGTCTCTTAGTCAGTGATGTGTTAGTAAATCAGCTGTCAGAAAAAAAAAAAAAAAGTAACAAAGAAGAAAGAAAAAAAATCCCTGATTCGTAGAGTTTTTCAAGCCACCAATGGTTAAACACCTGGCTGGAAAAATTCCTGAAAATGTAACAACCAGCTCTTGTGATCTAGTTCCAGCCAACTCCAGTACACCACTGTGTTATGTCTGTCTTCCCCACTACATCGATCCATTCTCACAAGAAATGCATAGTAATATTTTGAGTACCCTACTCACTGAGGGCCCCTGTGGGTTAATTTCCTTTGGAAATCTGAAACATGTTGACAAACAAGAGTTAGTGCAATAACTCTTAAATTTTTGGATGATTACCTAAATTTTCGTTTTTATAATTGTTACCAGTTGCCCTCTAAAACCATAGCTCATTCTAATTTAGAAATCCAACTATAGAGGTAAAAGAAATTTGCCCATTAAAGAATTTTTTAGTGATAATGTACAGAGGATTAAAATAACTGAGACAGAAAATTTTATTGAATGTGACTTTTGTTGAGGAATAAATAAAGTTCTTAAAAAGAAAATTTTAAAAAAGATGTGGTTCTTACCTCAAGAAGCTTATAATATTGTGAAAAACTCATTCAATAGGGGAATGAGCATTATTATGTCCACTTTAAAGATAAGGAGGCCGAGGCCTGGAAGGGGTGACTTATAAGTGACAGAGCCAGCATGTAAACAACTAAACAAGAAACCATCATATAATTATAAGTGCTCTGATGTGATAGAGAGGGATTGGGGGAGGGACCTACTTTAAATTAGGGGGTCGAGGAAGATCTGCTGAGAAGAGGGCATTTAAGTTGAAACAACAAATGATCAGAAGAAGGAGATAGCTATGTGAAAATGGAGGTAAGAACATGCCCAGAAGAGGCACCATAAGCTAGTGTGAAAGTCCGAAAGAGGGAAGGAGCTCAGCTTGCTTGAGAAAAAGACAGAAGAAAGAAACAGAGAGAAGGCTGGAACAGAGCATGTAAGGAGAAGATGATAAAAGAGGCCATAGAGACAGGCAGGGGCCAGATCACAAGAGCCTCGGAAGCTTCCATTTTATTCTACATTAATAGGAAGTCTTTGGCAGGACTTAGGTAGAGGAGTGATATGATCTGCTTTATGCTTTTAAAAGCTCATGCTACTGTTCGGCAGTTTCTTAGAAAGTTAAACACATACTTAGCATCTGACCCAGCAATTCCACTCCTAAGTAATCACCCAAGAGAAATAAAAACTTGTGCTCACTCAAAAACCAGTATGCAAGTATTTATAGCAGCTTTATGCATAGTTGCCAACAACTGGAAAACAACTCCAACGTCTTTCACGAGGTGAATGAACAAACTCTGGCACATCTATACAACGGAATATTACTCAGCATCAAAAAGGAATGAACTACTGATACATGAAACAGCATGGTAATTCCAAATGCATTATCCAAAATGAAAGAAGCCCAACTCAAAAAGCTACATTCTGTATGATTCCATTTATATGACATTCTGGAAAAAGAAAACTACAGGAGCAGGAAACAGATTGGTGGTTGCCAGCGGTTATGAGTTGGGGAAGAAACTGACTATAAAGGGGCAGCATGAGAAATTTCAGGGCAGACTAGTGGAACTATTCTACGTCTTGATTGTGGTGTGGTTACGTAATTGTATGCATTTATTAAAATTATAGAACTGGACGTTAGAGTAACTTTTGCTGTATGTAAACAAACAAGCAAAAAGAAATAAAAAGCTTGTTTTGGTTGCTATTTAGAAGTGCCAGAACAGAAGTAGGGAGACCAATTAGGAAGTTACTGAAATTGTTTAGGCAAGCTCTGATGGCAGCTTGAACTAGGAACAATGACTTAGAGGCCCCAGGGCACCTGCCCCTCCATTGTTCACCCAGTAAAAGGGCAATATGCACTCTGAATTGAATGAGTAAAGTTCTTTATACAGCCATTCATGGCTATAATGAAATAAGTTAATTTTTTCTGCTTCCCCCTAATTGTTCTGTCCCCAGGTGAGTACCACCATCAGCTTTTCTAACATGAACACTGACAAAGGGCCCCGGGAGACTCTGCATCTGCCCTGTCCTCTGCCAATATGATTAATAGCTCTGCTGGGGAAGAATTGCAGGTCTCTTAGATTTGCACCCACTCATTTGAAACAATATTGTTGAGGCTCCTTGGGCTGAGCAAAGTTCATATAACCCAGGCAGGCTCTGTTGGAGGAGTCCTGATAAGAATGAGCATAGGCTCAGCCTTTGTTTTATCACCTTTTAATGCAGGTGCAATTCAATACGTGAAATGATACATTAACAAGAAAAATCCTGTTTATGCCAAACACACCCACACACATGCACACACACATACATCATGCTCAAAGGAAAGCCTCCCTTCCTTCCAATTGCTTTCCATGACACTGGTAATTCAAAACTTATTTAAAGAGTTCTCAGCAAGTGCTAGTCTTAATGAAATGACTGGAGTCAAAATTTAAGTGCTGCTTTAAAAAGCACAATTTAGATTTCAGGTAATTTTTGAAAACCAGGTTTCCAGAGTAGAGCAACCACTTGATTATCTTTTTCCCCTCCGAGCAATTAGGAGAACAAATGAAGCACTGGCTAGTTTAATGATAATCTTGACGGTTCTTGTACTCGCTAATTTTAGAGGTGAAGTGGCCGGAAAGTGTATCCAAATGAATAATCATTAAATGGAGAAGTTTTGGGAAATGGGTTTCAGAAATGGGTAATAAGATGACTGGTGACTTCCCCCCAGCCCAGAGTTATGAAGAAGCATCTCAAGATAATGCAGGAGACCAGGGAACAATTTCCATAAATATTTAAGCGCCTCATATGGGTCCAACGAGGTACTAATTGCAGCTGCCCTCTGTCCTTGGAGAGTCAACCATTGACTCTGAATCATCCTAACTTCCTCCTCAGAAAAGGCTCCTACCCAGCAGATGGCTCTGCCACTGATCTATGTCCATAAATCAAGAAGTGGGGCTGTCCTTGACCACTTCTCTTCTCTATCCCTGCCTCTGTGAACCCCAAAGTCCTGTGGATTCTACCTCCTGAAAGGTCCCTGAACCTATGGGTCTAATCCACAGTCATCTAACTGGGCAATGCAGGGGCCTCCTACCTGCACTTTCTGCTTTCTTCTCCCTCTTCAAATCATTCCTCCCACTGCAGCCAGGGCAGTCTTTAAGAAACCCAAATCTGGTCACTTAAAAAACCTTTCAATGGCTTCTGTTGGCTTTTGGGTCAAATCCACACTTCTTATGAAATGGCAGAGGCAATGATACCCAATGTTTCATGTGTTCCCTTATACTTCTCAGCTGACTTGACATCAGATCAGGCTATGTGACTGGTTCAGGCTAATGGGCTGTGAGTGGGAGTGACAAGTGTCACTTCTGAAACGAGGCATTTAGTTGGTGATACAACTCACTCTTCTTCACACGTCCCTACTGTGGAAACTAGGAAGCCCACCGGTTCCAGATGATGCAGCTACCAGATGGCCCAGCCATATTAGTCTGGGTTCCTGAGTGACTAGGTGAGCAGAGCCCTTCATCACTCTGCACTGAACATGGAATGTAGGCGAGGAATAACATTTTCTTTGTTCAGCCACTGAGACTTTGGTGCTGTTTATTGCCACGGCATAACCTAGCCCATCCTGACTATACGGGATGGTTTACGACGTCCTCTGTGATCTGTCTTCCATTTACTTCCCTGGCTTCGCTTTTTGTTCCTCTTTTGCTCTCTAAGCTCCAACTCTGGTACTTCCTTTTTCCCCTGGCCACACCACACTTCCTCATCCTGCAGGACTTTTGCACATGCTACCTCCATTACCTAAAATGCTATCTATCTGTCAGATCTTGGCATAAGTGGCATTTGCTGAACTTCTGCCCTGGTAAATTGCACATCATAACTCCCTAATAGTTTCCTCTACTTCAGTCTTTTTTTTTTTTTCTTTTTAGAGATAGGGTCTTGCTGTGTTGCCCAGTCTACAGTATAGTGGCACAATCATGGCTCACTGTAGCCACGACCTCCTGGGCTCAAATGATTCTCCTGCCTCAGCCTCTGGAGTAGCTGGGACCAGTGTGGGCCACCATGCCTGACTAGTTTTTAAATTTTCTGTAGAGAGAGGAGTCTCACTATGTTGCCCAAGCTGGTCTCAATCTCTCAGGCTCAAGCAATCCTCCTGCCTTGGCCCCCAATGTGTTGGGATTATAGCCATGAGCCACTACACCTGGCTACTTCAGTCTTTACATGATTCATCACACTTGTAATTACTGGAATACTTTCTGACATTATAGTCTCTGAGAGTAGGGACCCATGTTTGTCTTGTGTCTTTAGAACTAGGCACAGGTCCTGGCATAGCAGGCACTCAATGAAAAATTAGTTGAATAATTAAACATATGTTTAGGACAGGGTCACAGTGAATGGTATGCCCTAAAAATTTTTTTCCCCTGGGAGCTCTGACTACCTTCCGAATTATTTTCCATTCATTCACTTGCTAAGCTATTTTTTTTTTTTTTTTTTTTAACAGAGTGCCTGTTCTGTGTTAGGCTAGCCTGTGAAGTACAACTAACCACTCATCAGATATTCAGAGGCAAGAGGCCATTGAGGGTTTAACTACTTGCTGAAATTTTATGAACAAAGTAGGTTTCTATCTGAGCCTTATAAAATAAGTGAAATTTGAACAGGTAAAGAGAATTGGGTGTTGCATCTGAAAGGGGCCCCAGCAAGAGAAAAGGCATTAGGAATGAGAATTAGGAATGAGTTTAGCAGAGACAGTAAGAAGACCAGCCTCTCTGGACCTTTCCTCCATATCTTCCTTCAACACTGATGGAGTAGAGGAGGTACAGAGAACCCTGAAAGCTGTGCAATGCTTTGGGTACACCGTTCATTTCAGAACCTGCTTTAGCTCTTATGACTAGAAGAATTGGTTGCTTCTGCTCAGCTGTGGTCTGTTCTGTTTCAAACACTCCAGTCCCTAGGGTGGAGAGCACGCCTTTTACTTCTTTCATAGCTTTCTACTACTCATTTTTAATGCTTTATGCATGTTAAGCACCCAGTAAATGCAGTTAAACAATGAAACCTCTCTTTTAAATATGTAATGACTTGCTTCAAGCTAAAGTGAGGCTCATGGCTAATGAGGTTATTATACTGGACAGGTTATATTATGCTGGAGATATACATAGCCCAGCATGTTTTCTTTCTTTTTTTTTAAAGAAGATTTTTCTTTAAAAAATAGAAGTAATAAATATATGCTAATTTCAGAAGATTTAGAAAATACAACTTGGCAGAAGAAAATGAAAAGCATCTAGAATCTCATCATGTAGTGATCACAAATGTTAACATTTTGGTACATATCATTCTCTAGTCCTTTATCCATTTATATAAACACACATATATTTAAAAGCTAGTTCCATATGGTCCAACTTATTTTTTTATTGTGATAAAAGACATGTAACATAAAATTTACCTTCTGAACCATTTTTAAGTGTACAGTTCAGTAGTGTTAAGTATATTCACACTGTTATGAAACAGATCTTTAGAATTCTTTTATCCAACAAATCTGAAACTCTATACCTATTAAACTTTAAAAAAACTTAACAATGAATCATAAATCTTTCCATATCAAACACTTTATGATATTAAATATTATTCTCCATGTATTACAGTATTATCCATAGAGAGACACTTTTTTCATTACCACAATTAAAAAAAATGAAGTCCTTATTGTTGACTATTTAGAGTATTTCTTTTTTTTTCATAATTATATACCATCACCTAATGTTATGGTGAACATTTTTGAATATTTTGTACATTTATCTTTGCATACTTATTTAAATATTTACTTACAATAAACTCTCAGATGGACTTACTGACTCAAAGGAGGCCCACATTTTTAATATTTTTGGTATAAGTTTATTTGAGTTTGCATGTGACAGATTTCACCAATTTACATTCCCATCAGGAGAATGGAAAAGGCTTATTTCCCCAGACGCTTGCCAGAATTGGGTATTATTGTCTGGCATCTTTAGAGATTTTAGTTAGTTCTGAAATAAGCCTCATAGCAAATAGCAATTGCTCTCAGGCATCACTGTAGCACATGCATATATCTGTATAAGTGTAAATCAGATGTAGACTTGATACTCACGTACCTCTACAAACAAGATAGGGAAGATGCCTACTTTATCTCCTAACTTGCCTTCTGCCCAGTTCTCATCCACTCGGCTGATCACAGTGATGATATCATCCTGAAAGAGAAGTTCTCATGGTCAGCATTTACTCTCATTTTCAGGCAGTAAAAGCTCTCAGCAGAGATCAGTTTGGAGTCTCAGATGGTGTAAAGTGTGAGAAATGTACCTTGTGCTTGATTTATTTGGGAAGTCTTTTGCTAAAATGAACTTTCTCCATAAAGGGCAGTGTTTGTATCACTGAGACCATAGGGGAGTAGAAATAATTTGGAGAATCAATGGAATCCAATAGGAAAACTTAGAAATGTTTCTAATTTTTAATCACCAGTAGGTCCAAGCTTTTCACTTAAATTTATCTGATGGAGAAATAAAGATGGAAGCCATAGGGACAAGGACTTTTAGCTTTCCAAAAAGAAAAATGAATTTTATGCTCATTTTGAAGACTTTTCAGAACCTATTCAATTTTTAATGCATCAAACATAAAGCAACTTTTTGTTCAGATTTTTCTTACTCACTATAAAAGGTTATATGTAAATTTGTAGAAACATTTGAAAATACAGGTAAGCAAAACAGGGAAAATATTGTATCACAATAAAGATACATTCGCTGTCAACAGCTTGAATAACACATTTTTTCCAGATTCTTTTCTATCAAGACAAAACATACACACATATAAACATACATATTTTTTAAAAACCTTTCCAAAAACATACACACATGCATACAATAAAGTGCACACATCTTGAGAAATTTTACATTTGAGTATATCCATGAAATCCCTGTTCAGATGAAGGTATAGAATACTCCCAGCACCCAGAAGGTTCCTTTGTGCCCTTTCCCACCACTTGTTAAGAGGCAACCACCACTCTGACTTCTAGTATTATACATTTATTTTGTCTGTTCCTGTACCTCACACAAATGAAGCCATATGGGACACAGTGATTATTTGTATTTAATGCCTTTTTAGAAACACCTTGCTGTGTCCATACAACATTCAAGTTCAACCTGTATATTCATCCACTAAAGACCTTCTGATCTGTCTCTGACATTCTGTTCCATGCGCCTCAGGAATTAGAATTAATTTAAATTTAAATCTGTTACTGCATTATACCCTTTCTTAGCTTCCTCTTACACAGCGGTACCCAACCTTTTTGGCACCAGGGACCGGTCTCGTGGTAGACAATTTTTCCTCGGATGCGGGGGGTAGAAGGTGGGGATAGAGGGTAGGGAATAGGGGATGGTTTCAAGATAAAACTGCTCCAGCTCACATTATCAGGCATTCGATTCTCATAAGGAGCATGTAATTTAGATCCCTTGTATGCGCGGTTCACAGTGGGGTTCACGCTCCTATGAGAATCTAATGCTGCCACTAATGTGACAGGAGGTGGAGTTCAGGCAGTAACGCGACCCATTACTATAAACACAGCAGCTATAAATACAGATGAAGGTTTGCTTACTTGCCCACCACTCACCTCCTGCTGCACGGTCCGTTTCCTCACAGGCCACGGACCGGTACTGGTCAGTGGTCCGGGAGTTGGGGGCCCCTGCTCTTACACATGTGCAATTATGCATTTATAGGTTATTATTTCTTTCTTTTGTTTTTTTTTAAAATTTTTAGTCGGAGTCTCGCTCTGCTGCCCAGGCTAGAGTGCAATGGCGCGAACTTGGCTCACTGCAACCTCTGCCTCCTGGGTTCAAGCGATTCTCCTGCCTCAGTCTCCTGAGTAGCTGGGATTACAGGCACGGGCAACCACGCTGACTAATTTTTGTATTTTTAGTAGAAGTGGGGTTTCGCCATGTTGGCCAGGTTGGTCTCAAACTCCTGACCTCAAGTGATCTGCCCGCCGCGGTCTCCCAAAGTGCTGGGAATGCAGGCGTGAACCACCGTGCCAAGAGATTATTATTTATTTAATGTCTGTCTACCCTATCAGACCATAAACTCCATGTGTGCAGAGCCTCTGTCTGTTTTGTTAATCTTTGTTGTCCCTAGCACCTAACATAGTGGCTCCCCTTTAGTAGTCAGCCAATAAATATTTATTGAATGCATGCATGCAGGAATAAATATATGACATTGAATAAATTACACAATTCACTGAGCTAGAAAGCACTAGGAAAAGAACAGCTTTGGGAAGGAAGATCTTGAGTTTAATTTGGATATGCTGAGTTTAGAACATGAGATTTCCTAGAAGTCTGTGTATTCCACAGCCTTCCAGAATGGGTCAAATCCTCTCTTTTGGTTTCTTTGTCATAATTTCCCATTTATATATCTGTTTCTTCCACTAGATTGCCAGCTCTGTGAAGGTAACAGTGACTCATCACTTTATCTCCAATGGCCAGCTTGGCACATGGATGGGCTCAAGAAATGAATGAGTGTGTGAAGTAAGTGCCCCAGTTTACAAATTCCCAGAAAGGGTGAGAGACACAGACGATGATACTCCCTTATGTCTTCCTCCAGCTGTGTGTCTAATGTCTGGCACAAAGTAAATACTCAATAAATGTTTGTGGAATTGAACTGACCTTCCTCTAACTGTAGTCTAGGTCTACACTTTGCTGTGTGGGCTGCAGAATGACCTTTCTTAGGAGTCTTGCTCTGAGGTTCCATAGCAATAATAAAGATCGTTATCTCAGAATATGGAGGACAGAGATGTTGTCTAGTTTGAGAAAACCTGAAGTAAATCTCCTTTCTGGTAGTGGTAGAATAAAAATATTTTGTAAAACGAAAGACCTTGCCTAAGCTATTGTAGCAGTGCCACTTTTTATACTTACATTTGATCTACTTATCACGAGTGGTGAAGAATGAAAATAACTCTAACTGTGGTCTCTATGAGAGATGTGAATGTTTATGGAATAACAAATACTGAATACAGAGAGTTAAAGTAGTGTAGACTTCAGTACAACTGTCATTACTTGCAAATGGTGGGGAATCATCTAATGAAAAAGAGAGGCACAAGAAATCTTAGGGTAATTAATGTTTGGAAAACATGTCTTATAAGAGGTTATTTATGGAGAAAGGCACGATTATGTTATTGTGCGTGTCTGGAGTGTTTTGAATGTGATGTTTACAACAAGATAGAATGTTGTACATGAGAAGAATTAGGTAACCATAACTTGGTCGCAAGAATACCCTTACACATACGTAATAAAGAGGTAGAGGCTGTAGTTTTACATAGCATGTTATCAAATTGTTTGTAATTTTCTGTCCATGTATCTGTTCTTCCTATTACTCTGTGAGGACAGCAGAGACTCTGACTTATTCACGTCCTATTCCCAGGACCTGCAAGGAGTAAGTGCTCAAAAGTGATAGGATGATAGAATGAATAAATCAAATGTGTTATTCAAGCTGTTGACAGTGATTGTATCTATATAGTGGTATAATATTTTCCTTATTTTGCTTATCTGTATTTTCAAATGTTTCTACAATGGTTTCAGGATAAATGAATGAATGAATGAGTGAATACTTTTGTAATTACAATAAAAAAGGCTTACAGACTTCTATCACTTATTTGTAGATTTCTCTAGAGATTTCACTTGCATGTAGTCTGAATTGTACACACATATTACATATAGATGCACCACATATATATATATATAATTTATGGACAAAATATATTTTATGAATAAAATAATAAATAATAATATATTTAAAATACAATTTTTAAAAATCAGCAAATATTAAACAAGCAACTCTGGTTCTGCTATGTGGTCCCAGGTGACTCTAGGATTCACCCAGAATCCTACCTTGAGGAAGGTCAGGCAATCCTGGTTCTCACTCTTGTCCTTGCCTCGTAGGTCGAAGTTGTAGAGGGCCCTGCAGAGCGGGGGTGGCTGGGGCAACTGCTTGATGACTTCCACGGAGCTGGCTGGGAAGATCCCGCTGATGCCATTGATTTCCCCCTGGTACCAATTCTCATCAAGCTGTCTCCGGAGAAGGATGACATCTCCCTTATTAAACCTTAGGTCACCAGGATTTTGCCCTCTGTAGTTGCATAAGGCCTTTGCTCGAGGTACCTGCAATGGCACAGACCAATAAGATATGTACTTAGCTGAGAGTCTGGAGGAACCGAAGATACAAACATTCTTCCTTTTATTGTACTTTGCTTTAACATGCTTTGCAAATATTGGGTTTTTTATAAATCAAAGGTTTATGGCAACCTGTGTTGAGTAGGTCTATCAGCGCCATTTTCCCAACACCCTGTGCTCACTTTGTGTCTCTGTGTCACATTCTGGTAACTGTTACTAACTTTAAATATTTTAAACGTTTTCTTTATTATTATGTCTGCTATGGTGATCTGTAATCAGTGATCTTTGATGTTGCTCTCGTAATGTCTGGAGGGGCGCCACAAACTGTGCCCGTACAAGACAGCAAACTTCATCGATAAATGTTTGTGTTCTGACTGCTGCAGCAGCTGGTCATTCTCCCATCTCTCTCCCTCTTCTTCGGCCTCCCTATTCTCTAAGACACAACGATATTAAAATGAGGCCAATTAATGACCCTACAACTGCCTACAAATTTTCAAGTGAAAGGAAGGGTTTCACATCTCTCACTTTAAATCAAAGGCTAGAAATGATTAATCTTAGGGAGGAAGGCACGACTAAAGCTGAGATAGGCTAAAAGCTAGGCCTCTTGTGACAAACAGCCAAGTTGCGAATGCAAAAGAAAAGTTCGTGAAGGAAATTAGAAGTGCTACCACAGTGAATTCATAAATGAAAAGTAAGTGAAACAGCCTTATTGCTGATATGAAGGAAGTTTGACTGGTCTGCGTAGAAGATCAAATCAGCCACAACAGACCCTCAAGCCAAAGCCTAATCCAGATCAAGATCCTAACTTCCTTTAATTCTGTGAAGGCTGAGAGAGACGAGGAAGCTGCAGGAAACAAGTTTGAAGCTGGCAGAGACAGTCTGAGGTTTAAGAAAAGAAGCTCTCTGTAACATAAAAATGCAAGGTGAAGTGGCAAGCCATCAATACTGAGTCAAGACCCACTGCCAGAAAGAAGACTACAACTTGCTGAAGACTCAGAACATCATTAACTTTTTTTAGTAATAAAGTATTTTAAATTAAGTTAGATATATTGTTATTTAGGCATAATGCTATTGCACACTTAATAGACTACAGCATAGTGTAAACACAACTTTTTTTTTTTTTTTTTTTTTTTTTGAGACAGAGTCTTGCTCTGTCGCCAGACTGGAGTCCAGTTGCACGACCTCGGCTCACTGCAACGTCCACCTCCCAGGTTCAAGCGATTCTCCTGCCTCAGCTTCCTGAGTAGCTGGGATTACAGGCGCACATCACCATGCACAGCTAATTTTTGTATTTTTAGTAGAGACAGGGTTTCACCATGTTGGCCAGGATGGTCTCCATCTCCTGACCTCATGACCTGCCTGCCTTGGCCTCCCAAAGTGCTGGGATTACAGGTGTGAGCCACCATGCCTGGCCAAATACAACTTTTATATGCACTGAGAAATTAAAAAAAATTGTTTGACTTGTTTTATTATGGTATTAGCTTTATTGTGGTGGTCTGGAACTGAATCTACACTTTCTCTGGGGCATACCTGCATAATATTTTTTTTCCCCATAAAACATGGATATTTTATTCCAGCTCTAGGAAATCAGCAAAAACAAACAAACAAACAAACAAACAAACAAACAAAAAACACGGAGGGAAACACATCTTTCCACACACCATTCTAATTTAACTGACATTAATTTGGGAAAGCTGGAGCAGAAATATATGTTTATACGTATATATATGTATGTCTTTATATACACATACATGCATTTACAGATTTTGGTCTCACTGGAGTTCATGTCCTTTTTTTTTTTTAAATAAATACCCCTAAAGGTCATTGAATTCAAGCTAATACGTCTACCTATGTCTCCTCATCAATCATTTAATATTGTTTGCATTGCATTCACAGTTTGTGTGTTAACCACTTATGTAATTTATCAAATTGCACATTTGGAGAGGTAAGGGAAAAACTTGGTTTAAGTAATACTCTGTGTATCAATTACCCATTACATGATTTTTTTCATCATTATTTGCAACCTCACACATCTGTAGTTTTCTACGTAGTCTCTCTATGCAGTCTACTTCAGCTTCCAGTGCTGTACTTATCTATATCTTCTGGGTGGGACCACCCACAATCCATGAACTTGGGGTCAGGCATGAATTGTGTAGCACCTGAGTTGGATTCTGATTTGGTCTTTGCTTCTAAGCTGAGTTCTGTTGGCAAGGGCACTGCGTGTTTCAAGACGTGAGTTGTTTTTGCAGGTACTTCTATTTCGGCGGAGGATCCTAGCTTAGTTTTTTTTCTTTAGGTTTAGGGAGTGACTCGTTTCTGCTGCTTTTGTCCACAATGATTTAACTGCTCCAAAAATGTGCTGGTTTGTAGCATATACCTTTTCCCCTGTTACCTTAGCAATTATTACTGACCAAACTGGGTAGCAAACAGTTGCTCATAAAGTAGTCAGTCCCAGAGGATAAGTAATTTTCTTACACTTAGAACCTTTTCTCGCTGAAACCAAGCCCACCAATCCTGAAACCGTAATAACTCCCATTTTTGGAAGAAAATCTTGAGGAGGATTCTTCAGATAGACATGAGCATCTTTTCCAAATTCTACTGTATCAATTATCCCATTTTTCCCAAAGACATAAACACCCTTGCACCAGCCAGTATAATGACCAGTTGCAGTGCAGATGGAAGCAAAGCCCATTTGTAAATGACCAGGCTGCTCTTCAACATATTTAGACGGGAGCGGTGGTGCAGTATATATGGGGACTTGCTCTGGTATCACTAGCTGCTTTTTGGATTCCTCTGCTTTGGCTGCATGTACACTTACAGATGCATGTATCAGACCTGCAGGCATGATTGTCAGTTTTCCCATTTACTAGCAGGGTGAAAATCTGAAACACTGACAATGGTAAATGTTGGGGAGAACGAGGAGCAATGGGAAGTCTCATTCATTGAGTGATGAAACAATCTGCACAACAAATGCCCGTGATACGAGTTTACCTGTATAACAAACCTTCACATGTACACCTGAACCCTGATGACCACCATGTCTATGACCCTTTCAGCCAAGGTTTTCAGATGACACCTGCATAATATTAATAACTAATTACTGAGCACTTCCTATGTGCTAAGTGTATATGTGGGCCATCTCATTTAATCTATGTAGTCCTTGGAGATAGACACTCATTATCCCCATTTATAAGATAGGGTGACAGAGACACAGAGTGGTTTATTAACTTGCATAAGATGACACAGCTGGGAAATGGCAGATATGGGGCATGAACTCAGACTACCTGATGCTAGAACCCTTTTTCTTAATCACTATGCAAGGCACAGGGTCGTGAACTTGACTCTACATCTATGAGAGGGGAGTCAGTGACTCTTTCTGGATCTGAATACTGATTTTGAATTCTGGCTCCACTTCTTTCCATTTGTGTAATCATGGCCAAGTTACTTAATCTTTCTTAAACTGTATTCATTTATAAAATGAGCATTTGGATCATTAGGAAGCTCAGCTGAGACAAAGAAACAATTAGTCAGAGATCAATCGTCAGTTTTTAAAAAAAATCAGCTCAAGCATAATCATTTGTCAAATCAGTTGTCTAAATAATTATTTCAGTCAAATGCATTTTTACTAATTGAACTTGTTTTTTTCACATAGAAATGGCCTCACTCCAGTCTTGCTTGAAGTCTGCTTGGCAAACTGCAAGTTCTAACAGATTAAGAGGAAGTGCTTCAGTCACCTAGTGTCGTGTTTTATTTTGTGCTTTTCCAAGCAGTGGGATTATGTAATCACCTCTCATTGTAGCAGTCTTGCTATTTATAATCTTGCTATTCATGCAATGGGGTATAGAGAGGCATTAATTTAGGTCTTCATAGATCTCCTGAATCCACAATGTTCATTTGAAAAAAAAATTCCGAGCAGCTTAGTGGTAGAGATAAGACCTAACAATACTTCACTGATGGAATGGTGGAGGTGCCCTTTTCTGCTGGTCCCGGGATACAGTAAGGAGACCCCAGGGATGAGAAAACCACAGGAACACAGCTCATCCCCAGGAAACTGGTGGACAAATGAGCAAAGATGTATGTACTAGGGGGCTTAACATAATGCTGTGGAATAAACAGGAAACTGGTTGAATAAATTATTATATACCCATACCCATACAATGAAAAACTTTGCAGTCATTAAAATTGATGTTTTTTTTTTATAATTAATAACATTGAGCATTACTGATAATATACCATTAAGTGTAACAGAAGAGGTTAAGAACAATTATGTAGACTAGATTTTCATTATAAATACACATGTATATTTTTACCTAGGGAAAATGTTAGATGACTATAGGCTAATATTTTAGAAGTGGTTATCTCTAAATGGTGAGATTTTTGAATGTTGAAAAAAACACTTCTTTTCCTAAATGCTTAGCTGTGTTCTCTAACTTTTCTATAATAATTGTATTGCTTATTAAAATTGGACAGTTAGAAAATGAATGAAGTTGGTGGATGAGAGGTAAAAGGTATAAGAGGAATTTAGAAAGAAAGTAAGCCAAGCTGAGTAGGATAAGCAAATTATGCAACTACCTTTTTTGGGGAAGGTGTTCCCTACCTGAGAAATAAGCAGGTAAAAGCTGGATGAGAATGGATTTCTGGGGAATGACCCAAATCTGTTAGACTCCTAGGGTTGGGTACATGAGGGAACAATAATTGTTCCTCCATATTTCTTCCTCTCAGTTTTCCATTGCAATATCACATTTTTCTGGGTACATGACTACCTGGAATATTGGTCACATTTTCAGCCTTTCTGGTGATTAACTCCAGGCCAGGGTGGGAGTAAGCAACCTTTAGGAAGTGTCCTTCCTGAGTTTTCTTTTCCTCTCCTCCATCTTGCTATGTAGAACGCAGACATGATCCCTAGAGCTCTAGCTGCTATCTCGAATATTGAGGATGAGGGCCACACCTAACAGGAGGGAAGAAGCCTGGGTTTCAGAGCTGCCACA